AGGGGGGGATGGGGGTAGAGGAAGTGAGAGAAGGAACACGAGGGAGTGACAGTGTGTGTAAAAGGGGAGGGGGGGGGTGAGAGCAGAGGAGAGCGGGGCCCAAGAGCTGGCACCCCCGGTGGAGCCCCTCCAGCCCAGGCCTGCCCTACCACGCCCGTACCGCTCGGCTCGACTCGGCTCGGCCGGGGGCGAATACCCTTATGATTATCGACCCCGCCGCCCCTCCCCTCCCCGCTCCCCGCGCCTGCGCGTCTAAGACTGGAAGGCCCGGGCGCGGCGCGGCAGGGCTCGGCGGGGCGTGGCCGGTACGCCCCTGCTCCGTCTGACCCCGCCAGGACCCCGCCGTCGCGCTCAAGGCGAGGAGGCCTACCCCCAAATCAAATGACACGAGGCCACGCCGGGGTGGCCCTCCTCCCCGCCCCGCCACTGCACGGAGCGGTCGTTGTCCAGTGTTTGAGGCCCGACGGACACTCAATTGAGACGCGCCGGCCCAACCTGCCGGCTCTGCCCCGCCCGGCCCACGCGAGCTAGCGCCGACGGGGGTGGTGGTGACCAGGACGGGACACACTCTGCCTCGGCGTCCTCCACATCACCCCACTCAGGTGGCCGGACGGGTTGCACATCCCGTCACCGACCACACGGTGGTTTCCCGCGGTAGCGTCCGCCAACAGAAAAACATCGAGCAACGTTTCGCAGTTTTAGAAAACGTTAAATAAACTTAACTGTTGTGTCTCCCATTACTTTTCTCGATTGTTAGAACAAATGCGCGGTGGGCTTCCACGAGGCGGAAGGCCACAAGGAGCAGCGGACTGAACACTTCATCGCGCGGTGACGCGAGTGAAACGGGCGTTTCCGTTTCGGCCGCACAGGAGGGATGCTGGCGGTATGGTTTACTTCGACCAGGCAAGGTTCAATTCAGTATCCGCCACGATCCTTCCTGAAAATGCCAATTGCTGGACGCAAGCTTCCGTTATGCACTGCCCTGTAGAATTGGGGTGAGGGGCGGGTAGAACAGAGAGGAGCAAGGATGATTTTAGAAAACGGCGTGCTGTACGATTTTTATA